TATCCTTCAGAATCACACTTGGGAACTGGTTGATCTCCCTCCAGGGTGTAAGCCATTAGGTTCCAAATGGGTCTTTCGGAGGAAAATGAAGCCTGACGGCTCCATTGACAAGTACAAAGCGAGACTTGTGATCAAGGGGTATAGCCAACGCGAGGGCTATGACTACTTTGATACTTACGCGCCTGTGACTAGGATAGATTCTATCAGAATGATCATCGCATTTGCATCCTTACGAAACTTGGATGTTTACCAAATGGATGTGAAGACAGCCTTTCTAAATGGCGAACTAGATGAAGAAATCTATATGGAACAACCCGAAGGGTTTAAGGTTCCAGGCCAAGAAAAGAAGGTCTGCAAACTTGTAAAATCATTATACGGTCTTAAACAAGCGCCAAAAGTATGGCATGATAAGTTTGACGAGGTAATGATGAGCAACGGTTTTAAAATAAATGAGTCTGATAAGTGCGTATACTTTAAGGACACATCTGAAGGGTATGTCATTTTATGTCTGTACGTAGACGACATACTCATCGTTGGAAGCAACGATAGGATGGTCAAGTCCACCAAGGACATGTTGAACGCACGATTCGATATGAAAGATTTGGGTCTGGTTGATGTGATTCTTGGAATCAAAATACTAAGAAGACCGGATGGTCTGAGCTTGAGCCAATCCCACTACATTGACAAGATCATTGAGAAATTCAACAAGGATGATACAAAGATAGCTAAGACGCCGATAGATGTAAACGTTCACCTTGGTAAACACCAAGGGAGTAGCGATTCTCAGACAGAATATGCTAGAGTTATCGAAAGTCTGATGTACTTGATGAGCTGCACACGGCCAGACTTAGCTTGCGCCATTAGCAAACTAAGTAGGTATACTAGCAATCCGAGTGCTAAGCACTGGAAGGCCATAGTCCGAGTAATGAGATACCTTCGGTATACTCGAGATTATAGCCTATGCTACGGCAGGTATCCACCCATACTGGAAGGATACACTGATGCCAATTGGATTGCGGATAATAAGGATTCAAAATCTAGAAGTGGATTTGTCTTTATGCTAGCCAGTGCAGCTGTTTCCTGGAAATCCTCAAAACAAACGTTAATTGCCAGATCTACCATGGAATCTGAGTTCATAGCACTAGACAAGTGTGCAGAACATGCCGAATGGCTTCGGAATTTTCTTGAGGATATACCAAACTGGGAAAAATCAGTTCCTCCTATTTGCATCTATTGTGACTGTCAGTCAGCAATAGGAAGAGCTCAGAACAAATTATATAATGGTAAGTTTAGGCACATTCGCCGTAGTGTGTTTTGGTAATCCGTTGAAGAGTTATGCTCATAATAGAGCTAACTGATACAGTTCAGCTTCCTATTAAATCGCCTAGGTAATTGGTTTCCCAATTGGTTACTCGTTGTACTCTTCAATCACCATCCTTACCCAGACTTTCGGGATGGGACACGACCCTTGCAAGGTACTTCCTTTTGGGTTGGATGGTGGAACCTGAGTTCAATGGGACAACCTACTTGTGGAACGAAGCACGGTCACTGTGGGGGCAAGCCGGATCACCGACTTAACACCCCTCCGTTCCTACCGAAATATAGTGACTCCCGAAAACGATGAGGTTAGCATGACGCTTTAATGATTCTTGAACTATGGACAACGAGGTCCAAGTGGAGTAATCGGGATACTCTTAGAAGAATCACCTATGTAAGAGTGAAGTGTGGTCGCTTCAACAGAAGGATTCCGGGCTGATCCTGTCTGACACTCTCGCAGAACCATATGCGTGTTCCACGACCATAATGGGCACACCCATGAGAACGGAATGATGGTTGGTTGAAACTTGTGTATTGTATATCATCGTTTACATAAACGACAGTACAGTTCAAAGACATCACGTTCTACTGAACAGCCAGTAGAGAAGGTATACTTTACAAGGAGTAGGTTCAAAGGCATAAAACCTACCTACTCTTGCAGGTTTCAAATTCAGAGTTATTGCCAGTTACATGAATTAATTTTCATTCATGTGGGGGATTGTTGGAAATTTTTAAGTAAATTGGACGATTTTCGGACATAAATTCGGTTGGGTCCACAAAATTATTTTTCAAAAATAATTATGGACGATTAATCTCGTAAGTAAGACGGACGTCTTGACATATTACACGCCATAAACGGTGCTCGGGTGAATGAGAAATTAATTCTCAAAGTTGAATTCTAAGGTAGAGTAAATGCCTTTGTCCCACACCGGTTTCTAAACCTTTCGTATTCTCATATTTAAGCTTAGGCATTGAAGTGTGCTTATGAAAGGAACAAGAAGAGGACTCCTCGCGCGCCCGCCGTTGCCGCCGTCCGTCCGGCACGCGCGCGCGCGCGTCGCGGCGCGGCGCGCCCGCGTCTGCAGCGTGGCTAGCTTTTTACGAGATCAAAACAAAAACGCGCGTGTACACTTCGTTAATAACGAAGTGTACGAAATTAAGGCATGCATGCATGGAGACGAAGGGATGGCCTGCGTCTCCTCGGTAACTCCGTCCAGTCCAGTTGAGGAGCCAATTCCGTTCCTATAAAAGGAGGGTTGGTTGCAGGGAGAAAACACACAGCAAACACTCGAAAATCTCTCTCTCTCTGCGTTACAACTTTCCGACCATCTCCCATTTCCGATTACCTTCTCCGGCTATAACTCCCATCATTCTCGTTCGCCGGTGCTTTGTTCTACCGCTCTAGACCTAGCACGAAGCGGTTTTATCCTGGGAGGAGATTGCTCACGTTAGCCAGTGCGGGAGGCGGGCAATACTACCTTAAGGAAAGCTTCGGCGACTCCGCTTTCCTTACCCTTCTTTGCTCCGGCGT